AAGTCCATCGAAACAAGGCCGAGTATTTGTCGATTGTCCAGTTCCTTACACCACTGTTCTGTTAGACTCAGTAGGGTAGTGTCGCAACCATGTTGCTTATGGTTGGTGAAAACATTCTTGTGGAAGATCTTGTGAAATCGAGGGCTGACTGGACTGTGAATGAGTGTCTTGAAAACTTAAGATAGCGAGGGAAGTATTGTCAGAGGCCTGTAGTTTTGTTTTGTCCGGGTACACTCCTTTTTGTGGACTGGGATTATTTCACCTTTTTGCTACATTATTGAGGAATTTTGCTTGTGTCGAGGATGAAATTAAATCCTGTGCGAAAAAAAACAGCATAAGATTTCAGCTGACTCTTCAGGGCGCCTGCTGGAATGAGATCATGGCCAACAGCCTTATTAATTTTCATTTTGCTTATGACTTCTCTAACTTCTGTGGGTTTAGTGTAGCTGAGTGATGTGCACACACATCTTGTATCACTAGGAATGCACATGTAGTCGATCATGAGATCGGTATTTTTAATCACATTAGTTTGTTCTGTGCTGGTGATGTTACTAAAAAATTCATCGAGTGTTTCCGCCACCTCTCTCCGATCTCTAATTATGTTGTCATTGTCTTTGAGAATAATATGATTATTGTTCTTCTGCTTGCACTTATAGATAAAAGGTCGGATAGTGCTCCAAAACTTCCTTTGATCAGTGAATTTTTCTTTGCAGAGTTTTGTAAAATTTTCCTGCACAGCTCTTCTTCTGATGCTCACAACTTTATTTCTCATGATAATTAACAATTATTCTTTGAAATCGAGGTGAATAGTGGCGAAATATTTACCGAGCCGCGAAAGCGGCGAGGTAAATATTCCCAAAGCCACTATTCACCGAGATTGAGAAGAATAATTGTTTTAGTATATACACACGAAGTGATCTCAACAAAATCAGAAAGGAAACCATTCAAAAGTAGGATTTGATTGACAGATCAAATCACGCGTAAGTTTAAAAATAGATCTTTGCAGAATTTTCAAACATGGCAATTCACAAGTTTACTCATTTCGCAAACAACAGCGTAATGGCTTCAATGGAATCGCTAAAAGTTTGAACTGTTTCCTTACCTGAGAAAAAAAGTAGAGCTGTGTTGTTTTCTGTTGACTCGCCAAGTTTATAGCCAAAAGGGCATGTTGTGTCGTTCTTCGCATGAAGTGCTGACAAAAATGGCGGCTCGGTTGCTCGAGGTAAGAGGTCGTCTTCCTGTATCATTCTTTTTCCTGTTTACTTGAAATGTAGAATTTCTGCAAACATTTCCTTTTAAATTTGTTTGTCATAAATAAACTTCGATTTTTGAGCCAAAATTTTCTTCTTACAAAACGCTGAGTTCACGAAACGGCTTCTTCTACGCGAATACACGGGAGTTGTAAACAATCCATCGAGCACAAAACTCCTGCTACAGTAAATTGAAAAACGCCGTATTGAATCCTTCCAAGTCTTTTCTTGCCTTAAAAAAAGTCAGCCCTAGGATTTTGTCGACTTTTAAAAGATCGTTCTCTAAAAAAAAACGGGAAAAACACCGACCTCACACATTATCCACTCGCTAGGAGGTGAATATTGTTGAATAGTCCGAGATAGCGAACCAATCAGATTGCTTAAATCACCAAGATCACTGAGTGTGTATATACTAATAGTCTTTATTCCCCTCATTGAGTTTTACAAGAGTGCACTGGTCCGCATGTAGCTAGAGCTAGTCTTGGCAGGCCAGTCAATTTATGTGTAGGAAATATTTAATTTTATTCTTTGATGTACATGTTTGTTTATATACATGATTTTACAATGAAGAAAGATTATAATAGAAAAAGTTGATATCAGTTCATTCTCTTGTTACTGAAGATTTTACGTTACCTCAAAACAAGGCATTGTACTTGCTGAACTTGTCCTGAAGGGTTTATTGAACATTGTGTGGGAATCTATGTCTCTATACGAGTGGCCTAATGTGTTCCATAGACGGCAAGCACTTGAGTAAAACATCCCAAGTCCTGAGTTTCTTTTACAGAGAGCTGTCAGAACGTTGTTATGGGTTGCAGATGTGATGAAACCATGTGAGGAAGGGACTTCCTTGAAGTAGGATGTGAAATATTCAGGACATGATCTTGACTCAACTTGAGTAGCGTGAGAAGTTTTCTTACATGTATGATGTCATCAATTGGCAACCTTATTTATTAGAACACTTTACAGCTGTTGTTTATGGTGGCATCCAGAATTAATCTCGCGCATGGTTTTTGTTATCTAAAGAGCCTTTTCAGGTGTTCCTAAGAACAGTTTCCCCATACAGTAGAACAGTACTCTAGAACTAGCTTTACGAGGGCATTATAAATCATTTTCCTACATTCATGTGGGTTCTTGCTCTCTCAGAGGGATATTCTAGAGTTCAGTTTTTGTGTAAGCCAAAAATCTTGTATTTATTGGTGCATGGATCCCCCAAAGCCTTAAATTCAACTTTAATTGGTATAGGTGGGTTAATTTGCTCTGGCATATAAATGGATGAAGGGGATTGTCCATGTGCTGTGCAGCCGTCTTCTAGTGTAGCAAAACAAATGCATGTTTTTCTCAAAGCACTTTATTCCCAAACCACTTTACATCGTACTCGTCTAGCAGAGTCGTTTTTTTCGGTGGAGTGGCTGCAATGCTGAATTTAAGCCGATGTGCCATATTAATTTTCATACCACAGTAAAACGACAAACTGCAATTCTGGAGCTGAGCATCTCTCTTTACCATGTACGAGTACAAAGAAGCAACTTCATTCTCAGGAAGCAGGAATGAGAGTGTTGTGTGATCGGTGATATGCTAATAGGGAGGGATGTGGTCATGCGAAAAATAACCTGTTATCAAGATACTGTTTCTAGCACAGCATTTGCTGGGAGTGAGCATAAAGTAACAAAAAACAAAGTAACTGCAGTCAAATAATCATGGCACAGCTGAGAAAGTTTTATAAGATCTTCTGCAGTGAGATGATAGATTGAAAAGATTGGAGCACTGTCCCTGGGGTTTCTCCTCACTTTTGTCCTACTTTTCACAGTGCATTTGTCCTTTGGCCACAGTAGTTTTTCTCAACTTTCACGATGAGCTATCATATTTAGATAAAACTGTAATTTGGCACATTTAAAATTAGTAGAAAACATCCCATAAGTGCAGGACCTCTGTTTTCTACCTACCCTCAATTTGCCTCAGCAACAACTATGAGGGTTTCCAGCTGTCTTTTGTGTGGGCACTTCCCATGGTAAAACGCCTCCACTGATAGACTGAGTGGAACTCATTTTTCTTATTGTGGATGTATCTTGTGTTACTTGGAATGTTCAAGTTCTCTGTGATGGAGCTGCTTGTGATTCAGCTAAATTTTCGCATATCTTCTCTATAAGAAAGAAAATAAGTAAAGAAAAATAAATAGTGTTAAGTGTCAAAGATAATTTTTGCGCTTTACTTTGCTTACCAAAAGTGGCAAATATGTTACTGCTCTTTTTTTCAAAAATGCCCTTATGAAATGAAATTTGAGAGTTCTGACTTGCCTAGTGGCTAAAGCTGTTACACTGTGCGTTAAAAGTTTTAATTAATGTAGGTTACAGTATGAAGGTGTTAGCAGTGAAGTTTATTTATGAAAAGTGTAAAACACTTAGTAGCTTCAGTATTTTGCACAAACGTTTGGCAAATTTAATATTCCCTAAGCAGGGGAACAGTGCAGTGGTTGTTGGTGTGATTTTGATGCTGGGTTGAGTGAATTTCTTGGGAAACACAGTGTTGGATATCTGTGTATATTCATGTTTGTACAGAGACCTTCTTCACGCTTTATAATGTGATAACTAATCGATTTGTTGCTTGCATGAACAATACCATTTGCTCAAGAGACTTTATCTTCTAGTTTAAATGTTCTTTTGGTTAACTTGCTTATGTGGCTGTTGTCTTTGAATTGTGTCCTTTGCAAGGTGAACTTATTTTGGAACTAGGCTGAAATCACGTAAAGTTTACCTTTTTTTAGCGTGTGCTGAAAAAGGCCAATGAAGCTTAGAATTATGTTGCTTTTTAAAGAAAATTGATAGTTCATCCTTTTATTGAGCTTTACAAAGAAAGACACCTTAACACCAAACATCAGACTTAAAGTCTTTGGCAGTTTTTTTCAAGTTTGCCACACTGTACAAGTACAATAAGTACAGGAAAAAATACTTGACTAAACGAAGTAAAGATCTTATTAACAAAAAGACTCGGTAGTGCAGTATCATGTGCATTATATAATTATGGCACTACAGCCCATATAAACTTTGATGATGAACTAAATGGAAAAGAATAATACCAGCTAGCAAATCAGACTGGAAAGACGAATGTTCCTAAAGGTTTTACTTGACCATGACTGCATAACAATGTTAAGCACCAACGTAATTTTGTGGTTAATTTTCTTTTTTCTATTGTTAGTAGTACCCCATAATATTTTGAAGAGAAGACTTAAAAAATAAAAATAACACCCTATATGTAGAGGAAGAGAACAGGTTAATTGGAATGATTATGCTGAGATTTTGTTTTGGTTGCTGAAGTAACAGCTACAAAGGAGAAATAAACCCAGATCTTGCCATGAGCAAGATATATATTCGTTTTATTGTCCCTCTTATGCAGGTACTTCAAAGTACCACAATAAACCCTTGCACTGCTCATTAATTTGGGCAACAAAATTGTGTGGTTTAGACTGTCAAATACCTTTGAAAGGTCAAGTGAAACAAGAGGTGACATTTTCTGCTGGTCCATCGCATGCAGGAATGTGTCGGTGGTAAAAATGTTCAGTGTCTCTGGAATGGTCTAGTCGGTTACTACTTTGGTAATTGTTTTGAGGTAAATAGTCGGTAAATTGGAGAAGGGCAGCTTTTCCACACACCTTTCATAATGTTTGTGATAGAGACAAAGGGCGATTTTTTGTAGCTACAACCTCGGACAAAACGTGTTGAGACTCACCCTTACAAAAATGCTTACCGTCGCAGATTAAAGAGCTTTGTGTCCGCAGGCATTACACTTGAAACACACTACTGTCGTTGAGTCATTCTGCTGATTCTTTGTTTCGTCCACCTTGGGCTGTACTTGTAGCTTCTTGCTCGTAGAGCTAAACAGATGCTTTCCGTGTGCTTCCAAGTATTGATCGGCAACCTTCGCTATCTGAACAAGCGTTTCCGGGGCTCTTTCATGAAGGTGAATAGCTAACTATTTTGGACAAGAGTCAATAAACTGTTCTTTCGCAATTAAATCTTTCAGGCCTTCAAAAGAACGATCAGTGTTCGACAGCTCTAACCAACGTAACAAGTATCTATCGAGTCTCACTTTAAACTGTTCAGGACTCTCGTCAACTTCCGGCTTTGATGCTCTAAATTTACGACAATAGCCATCCTCTGTAAGGTCATATCTCTTCATCAAAGCTAACTTTACTCGATCATAATCTTGGGCTGCCTCCTCAGATAATCGTGAATAAACCTCTAGAGCACGTCCAGACAAAAGAGCACTAAGTTTCGAAGCCCATCCTGTCTTCTCCCATTTAGCTGTAGTTGCGAACCTCTCAAATCGTTGCAGGTAAGCATCCAAGTCGTCCTTGCCATCAACAAATGAGGGAAGCTTTGGAGCCTTGGCCCTATCCTCTCTCACATCAGCTTCGGTATCGTTACGGCCTTGTCCTAGACGAGCAAGCTCTAGTTCGTGCTCTCTCTTAGCCGCTTCAATAGCTTCTTTTTGCTTTAACAGTTCCGCTTCCTGCTCTAATTTTCTCAGATCGCGTTCTTGCCGCCTAGTTTCTCTTTCTTTGTCTTCTCTCCTACGCCTTTCGTCTTTCTCTTCTTCTTCCTTTCTTCTGTCTTCTTCAAGTATTCGACGTCTCTCTTCCTTTTCTTCTTCTAACTGCCTACGCTTTTCTTCTTTTTCCTCTTCCAATTGTCTACGCTTTTCTTCTTTTTCCTCTTCTAGTTGTCTACGTTTTTCTTCTTTCTCTTCCTCTTCTCTCCTTCTTTCCTCCTCAAGTTTTCGACGTTTTTCTTCTTTTTCCTCTTCTAACTTTTGTTGTTTTTGTACGAACTCAAGCAGCTTTTCTCCCTCCAGTCCGAATTCTTTCCCTATCTGCAAAAGCTTTTCCATTTCCATAGCAGTACTTCACTGCTAACACACTCGATATACTTCCTCGTAGCAGTTCTTCTTACTTCTCTGTATACTCCTTTTTCTTGAGCTGTCTTTTCCTGGTTACTGTAGTCGGCAAACAATTGAATTCCTCTCCCGGACAGGCCCCCAATGTTGCGCGGGTAATCTTTTAGAGGACGGGTAGCTTGCAAACTAAACTGAACGCAGGGTTGTCGGAACAGCAACAAGAAGATTTATTCCAAAATGAACGTAGTTTCCGCGAAGTAAAACTCCACAACAGCACGTAACTCGATAAACTTACACGGCCTCCGCCAACTTCAATGAACTTGATAAACTTACACGACCTCCGCCAACCTGGATAAACACTGCTTTCGTCACACTTGACTAAACACGACCAACGTCAAACTCTCTTCCCTTGTGAAAACTAGTTAAAACTTAACTCGGGCGCGCCTACTTATATACTTTTACAGTAAGATTCTAGAACTTTCTAAATACTCTAATTATAGAAAGATTACAAAATATACCGCTTTAGAAACGCTTACACAAGATCCTAAAATAAACAAACTACGAACTCTCGCGAAGCTTCTAGAATGTCACGTTTAAAAGTCACGCAATACAATTTTTCGTAACACAAAGTGAGGCAAAACTTAAGCAAGCGCCTCAAAGCGAGGTAAATGTGTGTCGACGACGACGAACGAAAATGCACTCTCAAAAAAACCTCCCTTATTAATTGCACAGGCCACCCAATAATGCACAGAACGCCCAACACAAATTAGGGGTTTCGTTCTCGTACCTCGAACGCAAAAACACTCAACTGGACCTGAGGGCTAACAATTGTGGGATGCAGCTAGTGTTACACCAGCTATAAGTTTACTTAGCCACGCATGTGCAGTACGTATACCCACGAGACGAATGGTGGCACTCCCGATCAGAGTACTTAAAACATAAAATTTGGTTCACTGCACCTTTCAATGACATGCAACACATGGTTAACTTCATAACATTCTGGCTTCTATTTTTAATGACAACAAATATCAACCAAAAGAAATGATAAGCTAATCACTCCAGTATAATAGGTCATTTCGGAATTCAAAACACCCTCACTTTCAAAACGAGGCTAATTGTGAAAAGGAGTTTCATTTGTGTGAGAATAAAAAGCCTCGCTTTGAAACAGAGGTTTGGGGCGACTTGTTAATGGCCTATTTAAGCAATGACATAGGGTCACTATAGGACATAGGGTCACATAGGGTCACTATGTCTTGAGATATACGCGTTGATACTGAATCGTGGAAGTGAGAACTGTCATTTGAACTGTAAGGTCGCATAGTATAAAGGCGAACGCTTTAATTGTGTTGATTGCAGGCGATGTTTGAGGTGATTACGTCAGAGGCAAGTTATCTGAGAAGTCTAAATATTCTGATGTCACAGTTCATCAAATCTGAAGAGTTGAACGCAGGCTCCTCGCTGTGTGTTTTAGAACGAGGCCAGTCACATGTGCTGTTTTCTAATATCAACTCCATCAAGTCTGTCAGTGAGAAGTAAGTTAATGCGGTCTCTCTGTAATAACAGTTTTATTAAGTATGTAGAGGTTGATGATTCTTAGGCTATGTTTAACCCTTTAAGCCCTAATATCAACATACTAATTCTCCACAGTGATCTCGGTACATTTCTTAAAGATTCAATTGAGAGAATTTGATAAACGATCAAAGCATTTTCTCATTGGTGATCACTCTCGAGACTTCCGGATAGTTCTTGCGTCTACACGAAAACCATACCGGATAGGACTTCCGTTCACACACAAGAACAGTGATTTCGGCGCGATTTCTTTAAGACTAACGGCGAACTTATAAGTGAGGCGTCACATACCGGATAGGTTCTGTGTCACACTTTGGTGCAGTGTTACCGTTTTCCGACTCTGGAGGAAGTGAATATGAAATTAATTTTTGTGAGCTTTACCGGCCAATTTGATCACCAGGGTGATTATATGAAGAATTGCTGCCATTTTCTTAATCAGTTTATTTTCGTTTCGTTGTTTGTTTATTTTTGTTTGTGTTTTTTCATTGTTTGTTTGTCGGCGTTGTCATTTTAAAATGGGCTTGTTTTTTTCTATGAATCAAAGCCAAGGTATTTACCTAAACGAATGTTTCACTTTATGGTTAGAATGTTTGTTGCTGATCACTTGTTTGTTACCTTGTAGCTTTCTCCAGGCCTTGCGTGCACGCCAAAAGGAAGCTGTGCTTATATCATCTATCAGTGACATTATTGAACAACGCGTAAGTTAACGCTTTTTATATCGTTTTTGTTAGACTAAAATACAGTTAAAATCCGCGACTAAGAACCTTGTTTTAAGAACCTGTTTAGCCTAAAATTTGAAACAGGTTCTTATTTCAGTTCTAAAAATGTCTATAAAAAGATTCTCTACACTTGGGCAAATAAGAAAAGTCAACATTGAGGATCCTCTTTGGAGACATAGGTTCCTTAATTACTCCAACTCCAACTCCAATTGTAATGGCATATAAATTTTTGTAATACGTAAAGAATGAACTGAATTCCTCCAAATATTCTTAGCTACAATGTATATTTTTCTTCAGAAAATAAGAACCTAAATAGCCTAAATTTGTGCTTATTACCATTTATGTAAGAACCTGTTTAGGCTAAATGCAGGTTCCTAGTCGCGGGTTTTTGCTGTATTTACTTTCCTCAGCTCTGCAATCAGATCTGTCTTTCTTACACATTATACATGCTTTAACGCAACAAAGGATGCCCAGCTTTTCGCTCTCATCACTCAAAATCAGTTGTAAAAACTCATGTGTTGTTCTTAGCCAACTGTCTCTCGTCATTAATTTGTATCCCATAACAGGCTACCCAGTGCTTTGAGGTTTACGTCAAATACTGTTCCAATCAGATCTATCAGGATAGAGCGTTAAGAAATCTAAGGTAAGCTGAAAAAACAGATAGCGTTTGTATTTTTTTAGTCAGTAGGGCCTAACTAGTCTCACCTTGCTAGAAGAGCCTTTCTTTCACTTGCTCGATTTTGCCGTACTTGAGTGAGACTACATCAGGGTTCGTACAGGTTTTTGGAAAACCAGGAACGGAGTCGTGGAATCTAAGAATTGCATTTTCCAGGCCTGGAAAGTCGTGGAATTTAATTGTCGGCCTTTGAAAGTCCTTGAAAATTGAAATTTTGTTTGGTAGATTCGTTACTGCCGATGACAAATCAAGGACAATGTAAGATAGAGCGAAGTGACTGAACAGCGCAAACGGCACTCATTTAGCTGGACACCAGAGTTTGTGTCTGTTGAACTGTTTAAGGTCGGAAATACCCTAAAACACAAAAGCTTTAAAAATAAGTGACAGCTAAAGCTAAGGTCATAGAAAAAGTCATGGAGAGTCCTGAAATTTGAGGAGCTCAAAAGAGTACGAACCATGCCGCATGAATAGAGCAAAATCTTTGTTGAGCAGCTTGACGCTAGGATACAGCTTCAAACCCAGGCTTAATGTCTGTGTGCTAGGTACAGCGGGCTCAGTCACGACCACCCGATAGACGGATGTTCGCACTCAAAAACTGGTTTGACAAAAAATCAACATTTACTCGTCCAGAAATTTAGGTTTCGGCGACTTCAAAGTCTTTACGCGATTCAGGCAGAGCCTTTTTTCTCCTCCTCACTCAATAAGGCAAAAAGGGGCTCTAATCACAGGGTGAACCAATCTAAAAACAACTGGTGCAAGCAAGAACAACAAATATTAAACAGTTGTTATCGTAAGAAGCAGCGCAGTGGCGGATCCAGACCTTCAGATAAGGGGGGGAAGGGCGGTCATCCAGATCTTGAGATAAGGGGGTGCCGCTCTCACTCGCTAGTGTCTTTCACGAGTGTCTCAACTCGTATCATAGAAAGGAAAATAAAATCAGTCGTCGTCACTTACCTTTCACCCGCCATTTTGTTTTTTTCTCAAGAACTCGTGGTTGCGTAAATTAATTTTATTTTTATTTTTATTAATTTTAATGATACATTAGTGAGCAGCACACATACACTTCCAGTGAACATTTTCAACTTGGAACAAAAGACATTTTCATGCCCCGGGCGAGAATCGAACTCGCGACCCGGCTTCATTTTGCCAACAAGTCGATGATTGGACGCTCTTAAAAATCACTGAGAAAATTATCCAAAGAAATGTTTTTTAACAAAAGAAAAAGAAACCCGGGTTAAGCGCTGATCGGCCTTCAAACAACTGCGCCCAGTAAAACATCTATTGCTCCAGTAAAACAAAAAGTTCTTTTTACACGCCCGAAGCACTCTGGCAGTGTCTCCTCAAATAACAAGCACTGGAGACGAACCATACGATAGCACGCTCATCACTAGCCTTCAAAACCTTTTCATTATGATACACAGTTTAAATGGAGGTCTCGCTGTACGCAACCCTTGCGTTCAAAACTACCATAATCATAGTTATCTATCGCAAGAACCATCCACCCTTTCCCCTCAACTGCTACCTGTACGCCTAGCAAACGTAGCGAACGCACTCTCCTAAGCTCCGATTACTCCTAGTCACTATCAGTAAATCATTCGTATGAGTAGCCATGTAATCATATCCTTTTCAGATCTACCCAGTGTGGTTATAACTGGTGGAACCTCCGTCAAAACAGTTTCAGTAGGAAAGAATTTGACTTTAGAATGCATCGCGAATGGAACCCCACAACCAGAAATACAATGGACCCGCGTCGATGGTCTGCTTCCCGAGGGACTCATTTCAAAAGGAGGACAGCTGATTTTTCCGCGCGTGCGGCTTGCCTATGGTGGTGTATATAGGTGCAAAGTCACTAACAGTGCTGGCTCTGTGCAATCTGAAGTAGCCATCTTTGTGCAAGGTTGGTGTTTGCTGTTTGTTCTTTTCTGCTGTTACCTTTCACGTTTACTGGTCTGCAAAAGAAATTAAAGCTAATGCAAGTAAAGCTAAAAAACGCTTGAAATATTTGACCGTCAATTGCAAAGACATTCACATTTGTGGGGAACAGGAATGGTTCACTGGTTTGTCAACCGAGTTGATAAGCCAAGATAATAAGACAAGATAAAATAGCGAAAGCTGGCGATTGCGTGTCCTCGTGTCAGACCAAGTGAGGAAGGCGTGAAAACATAGGCCTGCTTTAAATCTTACTGCGGTAAACCAAAATGACCTTATCCGATTGGATTTTTTGGTACTACCACCCAAACACCCCAACCCTACGGCTACAACTAATATCCATCTGCAAAGATCATGCAGTTTTATTGACGATGTTACTATTAAACATTGTGTTATTAACTCGAATGGCAAGGCTGTACTCTGTTGACTCTTAGAGGCCCCCAAGGTCATGGTTACTCCACAGAAGTCACGTGTGAAAACTGGTGAGACCGTGCAATTCACTTGCATCGCTAGCGGCTCCCCGTCACCCGACCTAACATGGCGGAAAGTTAACGGATCGCTTCCATTCAGCAGTACAGTGCAAAGAGGAGTTCTAAAGATTGCCAATGTGACTCAAAAGGATGCTGGGAGTTACAATTTTGAAGCCAAAAATGTTGAAGGATCGGCCAATAGAAGTGGAATTTTAGAAATTAAAGGTAAGGTATCAAAGGGTCGGCTCTTTGGAAGTAATTTTACTTTAACCTCCCTCCTTGTTTCATGTCTTTATTTTGACGAGTATTGGTGCAAAAATTTTACAGTGCCTTTCCTCCTATACATTTTTCCTGATGTAATTCCAACGCGAAAAGCTACGAATGTTCTTGCGGTCATGATGAGGGTTAGATTGGGGAGTTTCTGCTAAGCACACTTCGCGTCAATGACAAGAAGACACGTTTGTTATGATATTTACTCTGACCATAACTTAGTAATGGTCACCAACCATTTGTATCTCTACCTTTTCTATATCTTTTCGTAGTGACCGTTCCACGATTTACACAGGAACCCCTGTCCTACCTCAGTGTACAGACATTAACAGACGAGCCACTTAATTTCACGGTTGAAATTGTGTTCATACCGGAGATGGCGGGTGGGCTGATTCTGTACAACGATCAGCTAACAAATGGCTCTGTTGGAGACTTCATTTCATTTGGAATGTCAGACAGATTTGCTGAATTTAGGTAATGGGGATGTGTTCACAAACAGGGACGAAGAGCATTCTTCTTGATCCCCGCCAGTAGTCCTGTGAGGCTTAACTCTAGCAGGAGTCTGCCCTCGCAAGCTATTTTTTCCATAAAGCCTTTGGTTACTTACAAATCTTTTTTCGAAGTCATTTGAAAACGAATGCAAAAATAGGATCTGAATTAATTTTGTTACTGTAAAACCCTGAAAAAGCAAGGTAACCAGACTATCGTATTACTAACCAAGTCTATCATATTCCGTCTTGGCTGCAGTCATATAGCCAAGCCTTAAAGCGAAGCTTCCATTTAATACAACACTTTATGTTCCGGTTTGGGGGGTGCATCATGCATTCTGACTGTTCCAGTGACTTATTCCAAGAGCCGCATCACGTCATATGTATCAACATACTTAGCACGAACACACCATTATAAGATGGGGTAGTTTACTTGCAGATTGTGTGTTGGTTGGACATATAATCCTATGGTCAATTTTTACAAGTGTAATATAAACGTGTAGCCATTTTCCGTGAGCAGAGATTGAAGAAAAAGACTCCGCTTCAGCGCAAGCTTCCCACATATACTCTGGGCTCCGTTGCCCCAGGCTAACAAAGTATACTTGAATATCTCCTCCCTGGTGAAGCTGACCCGGCACATTACAGAGTAGTAGGATGTTTTTGAAATGGGCTATATCCACGTTGTAGTGGCTGTGCATGTCGGTTTAGGCTTAAAACATTCTTGATCTTAACCTAACTGTGATGCACATGTTATAATCCAGTTTTATCCTTGGTTGATATTTTTTCCTTTTTTGGAAGTATGGTAACGTACGAAAAGAGTCTGAAACAAACTAAATTAAATATAAACCAAGGTCAAAATTGAAGAGAACTTATCCCTATTTAGATTCAACCTTGGCTTTGAGCCTGCAATCATTCGAAGCCGGCAACCATTGAGCCTGTATGAGTGGCACAGAGTCGTCTTATCACGTACCAGGAAGGAAGGAAATCTCACCGTAGATGGGGAGCCACCTGTAACAGGAATTTGTAAGGAGAGTGGTACAGGTCTGAATTTGAATCAGGATTTGCACGTGGGAGGAGTCCTTGAATTCTCATCAATAAGCTCTTTGGCGGGATTCAAATCAGGATTTATTGGCTGTTTAAGCTACTTGGCTATCGACGGAAAAGTTGTAAGTCTTGGGAAGAATATAATTGTTTCTTTTACATTCCATTACAAAAATAGTTGGTATCAAAAATAGGGACCTTAAAAACAGGAAAACAGGTACATGTATTGTCTCCTTTGATTATTTTGAGAAATTTTCGTAGGGACAAAACGAATGGTAGTTGGATAAAGGTTTTCAAAGTTCAAAATTTCTGGAAACTAGTTTTCGAGGAGATTTGACAGAGGCACCCAACGGGGAATTTGAGAAAAAGACGTAAAAACAACAACAAAGCATAAATAAAGCTTTCTGAAGCCATTTTAAGCATTTTGGGAGATTGCTTGGAAAAATTTATCTGTTCCTCACTCCCAGTAAGACTGATGGAAGAGTTCCCAGCCAGCAAAGTGCACCTAAAACCTGCAACCTGACGTATGTCCAGACATTACTAGACATTACTGCCCAGTTTGGGTGTGGTCATAGGGCAAAATTCAGCCCTTCCATGGGGGGGTCCATAGGCAATTGGGTGTGGCCTAAGGGAGACATTCACCCCTTTTCAATGGAGGAAGGAGAGATAAAAAAATAGAATATACAAGCTATTGTATACAACAAATCCCCTCTGACACCCTCAATTGTGTATTTCCTAGCACCACTTTCCTTCCAAGGACATATTAATTTCTCCAAATTTCCCAGCCAGGAAAACTTGGTCTGAAGAACGGATATTTTGGGGAACAGATCCATTGGGTGCCCCTGATTTGAATTTTGTGTCTGAGGGGGAGAGTAAGGGTGCTTTCTTGACAAGCGGAAAACAATTCATACAAATTCTTCCATTCGGTTTTACCGGCTGAGTTGATGAACACATCTTGAAAGTCTGCTTTTGATTTCTGTTCTGGAGGTAAATTGTCTGTAGCAACTGATTGGACCAAAACCACCATTTCTTTCTGTTACCGACGCAATACTAAAGTTCTGGAAACTATCCCTTTTATTTGAACTCTTTGAACTGTCTATACGCTAATTTCTTATGCATAACCTTTACAAACGCGTTCCAAAAGTGGAAATGATTCACCATGGTCTAATTGACATTATTAAAAACTGAATCATTGGATAATGCAATTCTAGCATTTTGATTGGCTTAGCCGTTATGGTATATGAGCTATTATACCATGCTCTCCATATATAGTCGGTGTACGCGTCAGTTTAAAATTGGAAGCTAGCTAAGATTTTTTTTCGCGAAGGATAGAACGCCGCCCGAAGTAAATCGTTTTAATTCATTTCTTAGAATACTAGAAATGCAATTTCATCTCAAGAAAAAAGACAAAAACAAACAAAAAAGCCACAAGAGCTTGTTTGAAAGTTTGTCGAAAAACACATGAAAACACATGGAACTAAAGTACCTTGACCATGAAGAAACCACACTTGTCTTCTTTCGTAGCTGATTGCGAAGCCATTCGCCGATCGAGTCACTCGCCGATAGATAACTGCGGCTTGTTTATCCGACATCAAGAATATAAATCACAAATAACCAGCTACAAATACAGGCTATGCAGCCATTCACTAGAGCAATCGAGGCGGTAGTATAGCTTCTTTTCTCGTTCAGCAAAACCAGCTTGTGGCTTCAAACAACTTCATAACAAGCGACCGAGGTAATAGTTTTTCTCCGTTGTTCTTACTTTTATAACTGCACCGAAAATCCAAATTCACAGTAATTTCGACGGCTGTCACTTAAAAATTATTTTCCTTCACATTATCTGCCAGGTTTTTTTTAGCTGTTCTGCTGTATAAAAAACTAATGTTCATCGCTACAATGTTTTGATTTTTCATTCACGCAGTCCAGGCGAGTCCGTTCGCGCGTTGACAGTTTTGATAGACGTGTGACATGTGAATAGCGGAAGTCCCTTGTCTTTTCCGGTCTGTTCTAGTCGGGGAGATTCAACGAGATTTTGTGGGCGTTTTTAATAAAACAATTATTCCACTCGCGCTTGTTGGATATGAGATGATTATAGCCAACTCGGCGCTACACGCCTCGTTGGCTATCTATCATCTCATATCCAACGCGCCCTCGTGGAATAATTGTTAATTAGTAGATTGAGTCATGTCTATAGAACATGAGCATGTTTCTTTCTGTTTCTTCGACTTGTAAAGGAGCAAGCTCTTATTGAAAGTGTATGCGCTTGTCAAGGGCAGTATTGGCGAACTTGAATGAGAATAAGGCCTGTTTCACGAGGAAGCTATTTTTGTAGCCTTTCGGTGTAGCTTAATTACTTAATTTTATAATTAGATTTTATCTTCTTCCTCCTCTTGCCAAAACACAATACTTAAGTGGATTTGTCACAAGGATATTATTGTTTTATGTCAACTCTGTGCTGATGTCATTACTTAGGGTCTTTACCCATACACAAAATGCTTCTGTAAAATTATGAAGAAGATTTCAAAGAAATTCCATCAGGGAACACTAACCATGATGATTTGTTACATGATTTGTGAAAAAAAAAAAATGGAACACTATTTTTGGAATTCAATTGATACGCAGACACTTTAAAAGCTTTTTAAAAAATAGAAAATAGCGTGACATAACCCTTTGAATACCTCTTTAAACAAATTTCAGGTGATCTTATGAAAAGCGTGGGTTTGGATGATTGTGAAGTCTGTCAAACAAGGCCTTGCAAGAACGGCGGCACGTGCACAGAGGTCGCTGGAGACCGGGGATTTATTTGTACTTGCAGGCCTGGTTTCTCGGGAAGGACCTGTGATGACGCTGGTAACAAGTGTTCACCTGGCGTTTGCAATGAGGGACGTTGTGAAAATATCGGCAATGATGGTTTTGGATGCATCTGTCCTGCTGGCTACTCTGGGGAGAGGTGTGAGGAAGGTTTGTTGTTGACCAAAGGCCCCTGAGTCCTTTACGATCTGATGTCAAAACATGAGCTTTGGTATAATTCCAATTTTTTTCCTATTTGAATAGGAGGCATTAAATACTTTTAACTGGTTTGTATCAGTTGGTGTGGGCGAAAGACCGTAATTTATTGTTTGGTTCACTGGACGAAAAAATGGATTTTCATATCCGAACTATCAGTAGATGGTAGGGAAATAAACCTGCTCAAGTCCAATCTTGACATGTGAGGTATCAAACAATGCACAGAATGCCTTTTGCCTTGTGAATTAAAACCGTGTTTAAATAATGCCACTTGCATCCCGGTTGGAAACACGGGCTTTTTCTGTTCCTGTGCTCCTGGATATACTGGACGAAAGTGTGAGTTTACACTGGCCGATCCATTGAAGAGTAACACATGTGTAAATGGCGGAGTTGAATTATCGTCATCTGACAGGTTACTTATTTATTTATTTATTTTTTATTTTTCCAAACATAGGAAAAATGCACTCCACTACAGTCAACCCGCAGCTTGTTTTAATGAGGTGTAGCTATATCCGGTGTCGCTGCTATTGATAAGTTCGGTTAGTCTGTCCAATATTTTCTGCGTTAAGTTTGGTACTATAGTCAATCTAAATATAAATAGTGATATATTTGTAAAAACGTTTCTTCTCGGACCTCAAAAGACGATCTCTCGCGATTAAGGACAGTAATTCGTTGGAGGGTGTCCGAAATAAAGGTAGTTGACTATATTTACTATAATGGACAGAAAGTCTTTGAATACTTAGAATACAAACAATACTTAATTTTAAGACGTGATAAGAGCAGTTGGCAAACCTAGACAGCTTCAGAAATTCTGAGCCTAAAAGTTGATTTACTGTGTTACAGGTTATGCAACTGCCCGCTCGGATATGGAGGCAGAAGGTGTAATAGAAGTAAGTACTTTCAGAAGTTTTGCCTTTTGAAATAGCTTCCTAATGCGTCGGATATATTTTCAAATCTGTCAGTAACTGATGTTGTCGCAGAATAAACCGTTTTCAATGTAAGGGATCTTAAGGCACATAGTCTTTGTGTGCGGATACAGGTGACCTCCCCATGCTGGAGCCATCAGCATGGGTAGAGTGTTTCGTACTATACCCCGAAGGCCACACTTGGGAAGTCTTGGTGGCCTTTTAAAACCGGAAGGGGAACTACCGGTGGTGCAAATGGTAAGGGTAAACGCCTTCCCACTGATATAGGCTGGGTTCGATTCTAGCGCCACACAGTGGATTGACTTTGTTGTTGGTTCTCTTCACAAGTCTACTTGGAGCTGAAAAGTTGTCTCTAATTAATTGGGGACGTTTAAGAGGCCACACGTTTAGAACAGTGAATTCTATCGGGTGTACGCTCTCTCAACTACATAAGTGTAAGCTTTCATAGTTGCAGTAGAATTCTTTCACGACAACCCCTACAAAAAAAAACACGCACACTGGCAAAAGATTTTAAGTACTAAAGAAACCTTAGTTTACAAACTTCTGCTGTTGGGTTTATTTTAACCTTTTCAGTGCAAAGTTCTTTAAAATAGCTTGCATGACGCAACGTAAAGTTGAGTCGATTCCAGTGACTCTTGCTGATTGGCTGTTTCGTTGTAGCTGTGCAGTTTGGGAAAAATGCCTTGTTCAGTGGTGACGGTTTCTTGGAATTCCCATCATCGACCATGCGAGGACCGAGGTGAGTTTTTTTCTTTGGTGTTCAGTGAACCTTCTGAGATAATATTTCTCAGCATCAGGAGAGTTTTACGACTGTTATAATAGAAAATGAGCGCCCAATTTATTTCTATCCTGGTATTTTATAGCCGAAATACCTTATAATACACAGTGCAATGTTTACGGCTTTGAGCATGCATGCGTCCATTTTTTTTTTACAGATCGACAACACCTGACTATAATTATGCCACTTGAGATAAGAACAGAAGCTCAAAATGGTGTAATCCTATGGCAAGGAGAGGTAGATTAGAGTGTTCTAATGAGTTCGGCCAACAGAGATTGTTTATAACTCATGCCTGATAATCCGATGACCAGAAAAGACATCCGTCTACTTTGCCACATTCAGTTCTGAGCTTTTTCTTAGTTATTAAAAGATTGTAAGAACAAAACCTTTTTTCTAAAACACTTCCGTATCTCTTTGCCAACACGTTCGTGTATATTTCATACACACAGGCCCCTTGCATTACGAACAGTTCCCTTGATCTGTAAGGCATCAAGCAACATAAATAGATACCTCATGTTCTCACCTGGATCAATTAGGTGTCCCTATGAAAAGTTTTTCTTCTTGCTCCTTCCAGAGAAGAGACCACTTTGCAATCGGATTAAGAGACGGATTTCTGGAGTTGAGGTAAATAATTTAAGGACTCTTGACGGCCCAACAACTGGTCTCTTTCTAAACTTTGGTATTCTTTGCTTTCAGAGAAAAAACACCCATACATGTACGTGACCACCAAAAATGCCAAAAGTTAGTAGTGGCTAATGGAAGCTGGTCGCATATGAGACTGACGCATCTGAATGTCGCTAAAGTGGCCTCTGAAATATGTAATGCACTAAAAAAACATAGACAATATACACGTATTAAAGGAATATATTTCGCTACCTCAATGTACTGATGGATCACATAACCCACTTAACATCCGGGGACGATAAAATAATAGGGAGTTTAAGCAAAAGCGTTTTTGAGTGACGCACGTCAACCGAGGTTAAGAAATTGTATTGCTTTGCGTCTTTTTTCTCATATTGATGATTTTGCGGAGAATTTGGGCAAAAACACTGCTTAAAAGTAGTTAACTATGAAATTGAATGAAGCGCATCCTCGGTTAAATTTATTACACATTAATCCTTGATCACTGATCTACATAAAAAAATAAGGGGACGGGTCCCCGGGCCCCTCCCCGGATCCGCTACTGCAAATAACCAGGAACTAAATATATCGGCCCCTACCCTGAGAATACTTTAAAATCATGTTAACAAATCAGTTACGTCTTTCTTAGATTTGAACTCGGTTCTGGGCCCGCTGTACTACAATCCCTGTCTCCAGTCAACGACAGCCAATGGCACTGCATCAAGGTTTACAGGTAAGAAACTTTTTCAACTACAATCTTGAAATAATAGTTCCTAGATCTCCGTATTCTCGATTCGTTACATTTGAGGAACAAGGAAGGGCCCAAGAATAAACCCCCCGACTGTCAACCATGAATAAAATTTTAATCAGTTATTGATTTTGGCCTCTATATAATATGAAGCAGCACTGACTGCCTGACGTCATTCATAAGTTATTTTAATTATTAGATTAGTGACGTTTGTCGTTTTAATTTTGTAGGAGTTTCAGTGAGGGTTCCCTTAAAGTTGATTATGATGATCACGTAATGGCACCTCAGCTGAGGGAAGCAAAGGGCTGAATATTATCCAAGGGTATAACATATTTATGGGTAAGTGCATTGTATATCCTTATCTTATCAGTCATCCCTACGATCAGAATGGGCAGTCAGAAATATATGGATTTCATATATTTTAATTGCGGGAAGAAGAAACAAATGGAGACAAGATAATACATAATTCCAACCCTGACCTCTGCGGTACCGGTGCAGTGCTCTTACCTATTAAGCTACCAAGCAAACTGGGTGTAGATAGTCCGTTAGTATCATCTAAAAGTCTACCTCCTTCGTCAGTGTTCAGGATGATCAAGGTCTTTTTCTCATTTGAACAGGACATTATAGCCTGTATTATCTTTATGTTTTTTTCCTTTTATTTCCAATAGGAGGCGGTGACAATATCGCAAAACTGACACATGCGAAGTTTAATACTGGTTTTAGCGGTTGTATAAAGAATATATTTTTCAAGGACAGAGGCATTGACTTCCAGGGTGACGCTATTCGCGGCTGGAATGTCCTACCGTGCGACAGCGATAAGGTAGAGCCATGAAAAGACATTCTGGAGAAACTGGTTGCCGTGAGAAAGGAGCATTAAGCTCCAGAGGCCACACAGCTCTTAAACTAACAATAGTTTATCGTACTTTCACATTGAAATACTTGATAACTAGCGCGTTTTTGTTGCTTGGTTACACTTTAAATTAAAGTTAAGCAACCGTTGACGGTAAGATAGAGAAGAGAAATGTGGAACTCTACGAACACGAGTATTAAAAAAGAGTTAGTTTTTCCCAAAAAATAGAGAATAACCTGTACAGTTATTGTCCTTTTTTACCAAAAGAAATCATCCAGATAACCAGTCTGGCTTTGGATCTGATCTGTTGAAATCAGCCACTGTTGTTTTCCTCTAGGCCTCGACTGTTTAAAAAGCTTTTTTTAATATTTTAATGCTGTTGTCCTAAAATGCATCTTGTTACACTGGACCTGCGCTTAAACCTTCCATTTTTGGAGTTAATCGACTCTATGGACAAAAACAAAATGTGTTTCTGCTTCAGCACACCTTCATGTACATGTAGCATTTATTAACAATTTTCACTGATTTCATGTACGTCTTGTAAGTTAATGATTTAAGGGTAGATAACGTCTGTCTCCAAACACCGAGGCCAGAAAAATACTACCTGCCATTTTAGAGTTCTGTTTTAGACCGTGCAAAGAAAAAATAGGGTTAACGTTGGCTTAGGGGAGGGGTAGGTGGGCAGTTTCCCAGAAAAGTATAATGATCCACATAAGGATTTTCGCTTTTGATATTTATATTGGCTCTTTGTCGTCAAAAATTTATTTTATCTCAATTGTTTATTATATTTACACCTTTTGTACATATATGTTTTTTCGTATTTTTTTTTCTTGGCATATATGTGTAAGTTTGACAAAAAAAGAAACGTCGCCTTTCAAGAACTTGTTGAAGATAACTTTTAGTTAATTAGCTAGTAAGTTAATATATGGAAAAAAATAAAACTGACAAATAGTGTTACTTTCCTGCAACGTTATAATTATGGTACGTTTACCAACGAGACGTGTCACAACAATGTTATCACTTCCACTCGCTACTTTAGAAATGCGAAAGGAACTAGGATCAAAATATAACCCGCAATTGTTTCTGGGTGAGGTGACTGGCCCAAAAAGCTGGGCTTTTATGGGTGTTGTAATGCCTACAAAATTGTAATGGTTTATTTTAAAAAAAAATACTAAACCGTAGTCGTATAGTCCCTACAGCTTCGTAACCGTTTCTTTAATGTACCGGTAGGGAAATGCCGGCCATCTAAAGGGGTTAAAACAATCTCAAAGAATACACCAAAATTGCTCATAATTACAGCTTTCTTCACTCAAATCACCAGGAGATAGCTTCCTTAATGTCTTTCTTTCTTTGAAATAAGCAATGCCAAGTGAAATGAAAGGAAATTCAAACCCCGCAAATAAGGACACGGAGGGGGCCTTAGAAAGTGTCCGTATTAACGGGGTGTCCCAATTAAGTGGGTGTCAGTCATCAAACGAGGTTTGAATGTACCTTAAAAAAACCCCCATCAGTCTTGGAGCAGAAAAGAGAACCAAAAACAAACTCAACTAACATTTCGCTCCTGAATACTAACGCATGCGCATACTAACTGTTGACGTACACATAGACGCATTTGGTTCACACTTGGTGCATGGGTACAAAGCCCGAGTGCGGTACTCGTTGGACACTAATGTGAACACACGCTTTTAACAAGTATCCACGCCCGAATTAATGCGTGTGGTCGGTGCCCGAGGACAAAATCGAGACCTTATACATTGGCACTAAAAAGGGATTTGGTCACCTGCGGGGTGTACACCGTTTTTGTTTGTTCTGGGTAATCTACTGCAATCTGCTCGCGTTTCAAAATGGCGTCTCACAGAGGGCAAAAAGGAGTAAATAATGTACAGTTTACATTTTAGGTATAGCCAAGGTGTGAACAAAACACCATTTTTGTCACTACCCAGGCACTAGTTCTCGGGCACCAAGTGTGTACATTCCCTAAATTTCTATCAGAAGAAATTGATTGGCACGGTCAAACTGTGGGGCAATCTATTTGCTCTTGTTCAGTTCTAGGGTTACCTGGAAAATGAACTTTATTCAATTCTTTAGTATACCCTGTCAGCGCTGTTGTTCCTAACTTTTTCTCATAGGTTGAATTTTAACATGGTTCTAGTTGGCGACAGGAACATTGTCGTATAAAGAAAGGCTTTTTTTTTTTCTGGAGAGGGAGGATGGGTATATTTGAAGAAGAATATTTTACCTTAAAAACAGAACTTTTGAAACCAATTAATCTGAATATGAGCTGGAGACCGAAGATTTTCGTATGATAGCTCAAGAGATTTTTTTTCAATGACAGAGCTACTTAACCGTTAAAGCAGATTATATTTAAAAGCACAAATTACTGAGCTTTAAGGTAAAATTTTGAAGTGAGTTACTCAAAAAATTGGATTAATAAGGGTTAATTGATATTAAAAAAAAGGTAAATCCCACACTTTAATTAAGCTGAACATGAGCTCAAGATTAGTATGTGTAATCAAATGGTGACGAGTGAAATTATTCCCTAATTTCACGAGTATACCATTTGATTACCTATTAATATCATGGGTGACGAATTACGTTAGCAATCTTGGATTTTTGACATGTTTATCCTGGATCGTATCGATCGAGAACTCTACTCTCTCAAATGTTTAGACCTTAAATTTGACTTATAAAGTTCAGAATTTTTCAGAATTTTTCGGCAAAATACCTGTTAGAATCCTTCTTGATGTGCTCTTTTGCGTGTTCAGGTTTTCTAAAGCGTCTTTTTGTGCCCTGACATCTTCATTCACGGCATTTTAACTTCGTCGCCATCTTGACACTGAGTTGTGCGGAAGGGTTGCCATGGCAATTTTGTAATTTCACACGTGAAATTACAAATTAACGCTGAAATTTCGCGCCAAAATTAAGGAGTAATTCGTCACCTATGATATTACTATGTAAACACGGGTTCCATCTACAGTTATTAATTCCATCCATTGCAATCAATAGCTCTTTTTCTGAGTTATTGAAGCAGGATGTTTCTAGATGCTAACATGTCAAATGAAGTGGAACAAAAACTAAAAGAGAACTTCCCTAATTCCATTAAAAGAGAAATTTTTAAGGTAACTTCAATATTAAACGAAAAAATCGATAAGTAAAAAGCATGTCAGTATTTTAATTTTGGTGACTACGACAAAAACACACTGAGAACACACAAAATGGCTTTGTCATCATGTTTGTCTCCAAAAATAATTATGATGCCCCCTTATTTGACGTTTTAAGCAACCATCGGTTACTTTGAGAATTGCAGTAATCCCGACAAATTGAAAAGGACCGGTATTTAGACATTTGGCCGTGATATAATTATATCTGTTAAGAAAAGGGGTACTTAGTAATTATTTCAGGAAAGAAAACCAAAACGGTAAGTATTTTAATATTTTGCTTCCAAGGCACTGGTATTTCGTTTAACTAATACGCATTAAGAGAGTTCAACTTTATTTAAATTTATTCTCTACGCTTAAATAATTTCTTCTAAGCTTCCCTCTGAATAATGCTTGGAAAAGTCGTAAAATAAACTAACTAAAACGCCAATCCATTTGTTTAGAAATGCTGGGCCATTCTGTTTATCCTGACAGCTGAGTAAATGTGCGGGAGCGGGGAGGGGCACTCAACAAAGTATTACGGGTACGCTCCGCCTGATGGTCCAATCCCCTATATTTTTAATATAATTATACCTTTTTTACAGAAAAGGTACCCCTTGTTACCCCTTTTACACACCTAGGTTAGAACTTTTGCATCTCTGTTGTCTTTCAAATATAAATCAATCACCTAACAAAACATTTTTTTCTCTTGTGTTGTATTGAATATTATAAGAGGAGAACCCGATAAAACTGTGGGAAACAAAATGTTTTCTCCACTTTTAAGAGCCAGAAAATGTAGATGTTAGCCCTCTTGAGGCTTTTTACAGACCGGAATGACTGATTTTCCTACCCTTCCATATTACGTGAAGCCAGAAAGAGGTTCTTTTATCGGGCGAAGCCTTCCCGTAAAGGCCATTGTATGAAGTACCCCCGGGAATACCACCTGCTTTTTCTAAGCAATATCACCTCCCCTACATTAAAAGAAAGCTAATTGTGTTCTGTCTTCAGGTTATGTTCAGAGTTAATGTTAATATTCAACATCAAGACTTTTGCTCGCGTTATCATCATCGTGTTTTTGCTAACTACAGTCACTTCAACCTTCACAAGTAAGGTTCTAACACATTGTATTCCTTTGCTGTCTATTCTAAATACTTGGTTTTGCAGGGTCATGAGTCTCGTCTTCGGAAAACTCCCATTAGAAAGAGACGGGAGTGATTAACAGAAAATTAGAAAGAGAGTGAAAAATCTCTCATTCTCCTTCGATCCCCTGAACGAGACCAATCTGAGCCTAAAGGAGAGCGTACTCGAGCACAATATGACGACGTTTGTTTCCTTTCAGTATACTTACGCACAACCCTAAGAAATACCTTCACTGGCAAAAATATAGGCGTTCGACCCTCCGTTTCCTCAAAAAAATATGCAACTTTCAGCTCTAAGCGAGGAGACGCCATTTTCAAATGGGAGACCATAGGGGCTTTTGTTTATGTTTTCAATGAGAAATCATACTAGATCATATACCTACATAACCTTTAAATTTTTTTAGTAATCTGATAAGGGCCATGTTTATCCTACAAAGAACAAATTTTGTGTCCACAAAGAATATCGACAACTATGTTCTTTTGTTCTGTATGTTTTGCCGATAGATGACCAAGCTGAAGTCAGAAGAAATGCAGATATACAAGTACCAGAGGAATGTCATTGGCCTTCTCATTATATTGAATGTATGATGAAGGAGAAGGAAAAAAGATCTCCTGATTATTATGATCTTGTAGGCATCTTTTACGAACTTGCCTGTACACAGAGACCAAGACCTGATGAGCTTGTAATATTGAGAAATCAAAATCA